CACCTTGTCTTCTGATGGTTCCTCCCGAGTGTCCTCTGCTTCCTTGTCCTTAGATTTTGCTGTCCCCAGGACTAAAAAACCAAAATGGGAGCTGGCCGATTAGCTCAGTTGGTCAGAGCACAATGTTATAATACCAAGGTCAAGGGTTCAGATCCCCTTACCAACCAGCCACCAAAAACAAAAATGGAGTCACCCCTGCTAAGTCTCATGTCACTTAGGTTGTAGTGTCATCTTCCTAGAAGTCAGGAGAAAGAGATAATAGTCCCCCCCACGACGGACAACAGGCCAGGTTAAATCTTCAACAGGCATGGTAATGAAGTTTCCACTGCTGTAATCCTTACACAGAAGAGACAGCCTGAAGTAACCGGATGTTAACTAATCAGTTATTTTTCTATTGTTCTCTCCCTTTTCCCACCTTACAAGGAAAGTAACTTTGAAATGACCAATTCACTTTTCGTTCTTTGTTTCTGCTTTCTTCGGCCTTTTCTGTCCATAGAGGCTTTGTCATTTGTAATAAACTTTGGAGCACTCTCTGACTCTGTGGGATAGTGTTTCTTGGGTCAATCCTCACATTTGCCTCCCAATAAACTTAACAAAACTATTTCTGCCTCAACAGCCTTAATTTCGATTGACAAGAGTCATCTTTCTCCACCCTGGTCCCGTGGATGGTTCAGAGCTCCAGACCTGAGTTCAGATTCTAGTCCTGACACTTAGGGCCCTTTAAGATCCCATGTCCTTGGATGTAATTGGGGCGATGCAATGACTGTTCTTATCCTTCCAGATCTGAGCTGAGGATTGGGGAAACTGGCTCATGTAAGTGCTGGTACACAGGAAGAGCTTAATAAGTGTTAACTCTTGAGGAGCCCCCCTCAAGTGGATTCTGCAGTGGTCTGGGGACTGATCTCCTGCAGGCCTCAGTCCGCAGGTCTAGTAACCACAAAGCAGGCGGGCTGATTTTTCCCAGGCGCAAGTCTGATCACAGCACAGACTTCCCATTGCTGTTAGGATCAGGGCCAAATTCGCAGCTGTGGTCTGCTGGACCCTGTATGGCTGACTCCTGCCTCCTCACTTGTCTCATCTTGGGCCTTTCTTTCCTGGATTCTCTGGGCTCCAATCCTTTGAGCTTCTCCAATAGAACATAACCCCGTCTTCCGCCTAGACCTCTCCTGCCCCTGCGCTATCACCTGGGGAGTTTCCTAAGACCTCAGCAACAGTTATAATTCTCACTGCAAACAATCCACTTGACCTGCTTATCTCTCCCTCCATCATAGCAAGCGAGTCAATTTCTTAGTAACTGAGTCAATTTCAAGGTCTGATTTCTTAGGTACTTTAATTAATTCCCATTTACAGGTGTGGAAACTGAGGCCCAAGCCATTGAGAACCTTGCTGAAGTCACCTGGCTGTCAGGTGGCAGAGTTTAAACCCACGACTGACTCTAGGCCAGCGGTGCAAGTGGAACAGCTGAAGCACACCTTGCTGGCTGCCACTTCCTCCCTGGGCAACCTCCTGTCTCCTCGTCTTCCTGCCCTGCACTCTAGTGAGTTGGTGCCCACACTCTGCTTCTGCACTGGGTCACAGGTTCCCACGCACCTGTGAAGGCTTCTCTCCCGGCACTTGTCTGTGTATTTGTTTATCTCCCCCGCTTGACCCTGACCTTCATGAGGACAGGAATTGTCTGTTTTATTTCTACATTCCTGCCTCTAGTCCTGGTTCATACTAGGTGCTCAGTAAATGCAAAACAATTGACTACTTGATGAACACATTAGAAACAATAGTGTTGGTTCTCATGGGTCATTTGCCAAAAATGTTTTGTTCGTTTTTGTCCCAGCATCTTGCCTTAGCCCTCAGGGGTCCAGACCTTTGACCACCAAGGCTTTCCAGGGCCAGGGGGACCACAGCTTGAGATAACCCTGAGGTTATGCCCTGGAACTTGTGTCCTGGGTTTCCAATATCTGCTTGTGGACCAATATTCTTATGTGCCCATCCATGCATGAGAGAGGACGACATTTTGTAATAATACTAGCTGACGCTTACTGTGTGCTGTCATACCTTACATGCCCTCTCTCATTTACTCTTCAACAACAGCCTTATATCACCACCTCCAACTCATAGATGCAGAAATCAAGGCAGAAGAAGCTTAAGTCACTTGCCCTATGTTCACCACCAACCCATAAGACCCTTTCGAATTAGACAGACTTGACCACTCTGACCCAGGGGAAATGGCCCATCTCTCCCAGGACCTCTATCTTTCTGGGAAACATCCATTCATTCATTCATTCAACAATTAAATGCCTACTATGTGACAGTCATTGCTCTGGGTGAACAAGTGCTTCCCACTCATCCTCCAGCCCCGATCCCCATAAGAGGTCATTGCCATCATCCAGATGCAAGGCCAGGGGGTTATGTCAAACCTGCAGTATCAATCCAAGAGGTCCCAGAATGTCCCTTATCTCATGAAACCTGGCAGAACCCTGAGATTCAGGTCGGTGCCCCTGCCACAGCTCTCTGCCCTACGAAGGCATCATGGAGACATTTGGGTGCCAGGTGCCATGGGAGCATTGGGGGCAAGGAGGGGCCTTGTGAGCCTGGAAGTAAAGAAAAGACCCTGACAAGCAAGAGTAGTCTGGGACAGCCGATCTGAATGGCAGATCTGCTACCCCTGCCAAAGGATCTCCCTCCTTTGTTCCCTCCCCAAAATAATACTCTATCAAACAGGAAGGTCAGGAGGGATATGAAAGGTCACCTGGTCTACCAGCTGAAAATGTTACCAATTAGATTTATTTGGGTCACAAAATTATTTCTTTGAAAAGCAAAGTAGGGCAGCCTGAGAGTGTGGAAAGAATAGGCATTTTGGAGTAAGATAGACTTGGGTTCCCCTGCAAGCTTCTCTGCTGCCTGGCTCAGTGTCTTGGAGAAATTACTGAACCTCTCTTGGCCTTGATTTTCTCATCTATAAAATTGGGATAATGATGCCTACCGAACAGGGATGCTGGGATTACACATAATGCGTTTGTAAGGTACTGAATCCAATGTCCGGCACACAGTAGGTGCTTGATAAAGGTGGGCTTCTGGTGTTGGTGCTGTCTCAGTGTGACTGTAGGAGGGAGATCATTGCTGAACTTCGTCCTTGTTTTCCATGCCAAGCCAGCCCTGGGGGAACAATTCCTAAGATCCTGGATTCCACATCCACTATTGCTCCTAAATCTTAAGCCTCCTTAAGGCCCCTATCCGGGCCCCACCCTTCCTCAGAGGCTCCAGGGATTTACAGTCTCTCCCCTGCTGCTTGGGCTCCCCATGTGTAGGAAATCTTAGGACCACCCCACCACCACCACCACCACACACACACACACACACATCACCACTGAGTGGAGACTCAGTCCCTGGAAAGCAGCCTTCTTCTAGCAATTTGGAAAACCTGCAATATGCTCCTAAATAAGTTGGAGCAGGGAGTTGTCGGCAGGGCAACTGCTCAGGTGGAAACCAGAAGCCATCCTCGACCCTTCTCTCTCACACCCCACATTAGCAAATCCTGTGAGCTTTACCTCCAAATACATCCAGGATCTGACCAGTTCTCCCTCCTCCACTCTCACCTCCCTGGTCAGTGCCCCTATCCTCTCTCCCCCGGGATTTTGCAACAGCCTCTTGACTGGTTTCCCAGCTTCAGCCCTCCTTCCCTTCAGTTACTCTCAAGCCAGACTGATACCATTGAAACGGAAGTCAGGCTCTTACCACCTCTTATCAGCCCCCACCGGAAGACAAGCACTTGGTCTCCCTGTCCCCCGTGGGGTCTAGCAGTGCCTTGCTCATGAGAGGACCTCAACCAGGATATGGTACAGGAATGAATGAATGGATGGGCAACTACTCCGTGAAGTGCCCACCCTCCTCCTGCTAGATTCCTTTTAATCCTCACAACTGCGGTGTTGAGAGAGGTTAGGAAACTTGCCAAAGGGCAGCTCTCTTTAAGTAGTGGAGCTAGAACTGGAGCCAGTTTGGCCTGACTCCAGAGCATTCCTCCTTCCTTGGCTTGACTGAGCCAGGCACTGTGGGAGGCACTTGGGGGAGGGGGGCTCACAGATTCCACAGAGACATGGCCCCTGTCCTCAAATCTAGTGAAAGACAGAGAAGCAAACGAATAAATTAAAGAACAGTGCCTGGCAAATGAGACGCCGGTAGAAATGTCTTGTTGTTGAACGGGTTAAGAGCAATCAAGACGGTGTGCAGACATTTCTGTGGGCCTCAAAGAAGGTGTGTTGAGTATGTTGGAGGAGGGGAGAGGAAGGGGCTGGCAAAGACTTCTGGAGGGGACATTTGAGGTAGACCTTGAAGGAAGGGTAGGAGCCAAGGGGGAGACGGTGTGCAGACATTTCTGTGGGCCTCAAAGAAGGTGTGTTGAGTATGTTGGAGGAGGGGAGAGGAAGGGGCCGGCAAAGACTTCTGGAGGGGACATTTGAGGTAGACCTTGAAGGAAGGGTAGGAGCCAAGGGGTCTGGGGAGCGGCGGGTTGAAAGAAGGCAATCTGAGAATAAGGATTTGGAAGAGCTCTGAAAGCCATGACGGAACAGTAGCGTTAAAATTCCCTCAGGGACCCCCCAGCCCCAGCCCGAGATCAGCAGACAGTACAGGGGTCTGACACCTGCTGTCAGCCCCCCGACAGGCTACGGAGCTGACAGGAGGTGGGGGACCCACCCGGCGCAGCCGCCTCGTCAGAGGCCACCCCCTGTCGTCCCCCCTCTGCCCACTCAGTGCCCACAGCCGGCGCTGGCACGTCCGCCCTCCGGGGGTGGGACGCGGATGGCCTCTGCAGGCCGGTTCCTAGGTGACATCACGCACGGAGGCGGGGCTCAGGGTTGTGGGGCGGAGCCCCGAACGAGGGGCGGGGCCGGCGAGGCTTCTGGCCCCGCCTCAAGAGAGCGTGGAGGCGAAGACCGGAAGTCCGTCCGCCTCCGCCCGCCTCCGTGCGCAAGGTCGTGTTCCGGAAGTGAAGGGGCCATGTTGATGGGTGACCCCCGAGACAGGTGTCGGGCGAGAAGCGAGTCCTGAAGAGTGGTAGAGCGCGCGGCCCGCGGGTGAGTGAGGGAAGCACTGAGGGCCGGCGGAGGCCTGGCGGCCGGGAGCTCGCCGCACCTCCCCTCAGGGCTGCTGCCGGCGGCCCCGATCCGTCCCGGGCCCAGGCTACCGGCCTGCCGCCGGGGGGCTCGCCACAGCCCGCCCCGGACGGCCCCCTCGAAAGCTCGCCCCGCCCCATCCTCCGGAGTCCTCCCAGGCCCCCAAGCCGGCCTGTCCCAGCCGCGGGGTCTCCGCACCCCGGCTCGGCCTGGCCCCCCAGGGTCGGGGGAGGAACTGGACTGGTCAGGGCTCAGCCGCCCACTCGCCGAGCGACCTTGTAGTAACAGCCCTCGCCGTGACAGTCGCGCTCTACCTCCTCAAGCACTTCGGTTGATTTTCTGCATCTCTCCCATTGCGGGAGGCCCTTAGGGCCGGAGGGAGCGTTTCTACAGCAAACCGGGACAGGGACGGTGGCTTGCTCAAGCTCGCGCAGGAAGTTAGCCAGGCCAGAGGCTAATGGCTAGCCGACTTTGGGGCCAAAGTCCAGATCTTTTTTCCGGCCAGATAGGTCCCCCAGTCATTCATATTTCTTTATTTCTGAAACGGGGATGGTCATATCTTCCACATGGGGATGTTGTGAGGATTCTTTCTTATATTCAGTGTTAATTTTGAGCCCCTGGTATGTGCCGGGCACTGTGCTGGGAATGTTGGTGGAGCGCCTAGAAGTGCCGTTACACATGGTAAGGCCTTAACACACGGTGACTCCATTACAGAAGAGGCAGCGTGGGGATCAGGAGTGCGGCACCCCCCTTTACAGCTGTGCTCCTGTAGGCAAGTTACTTCCTCTGGGAAGTTCAGTTTCTTCCACTTAAAATGAGGGTAGTGATGACACGGGTTGTTGATAGAAGGAGATGAGTTGTGTGGGACTTGCTTAGAATGTGCATGGTGTGTAGTAAGCCCTCAATAAGTGTGCACTATTATTGTTATAAACCCTGACCATCTCATAGGTTCTTAGTTTAAATGTAACAATGGATGACAAAGCACTTTACCGATGATAACACTCTGTGATTGTATAATGGCTTATTGTTACTGAAGGAAGGCAGTGGCAGTTTTTGTATAACTAAATGTAATACTTATTGAGCATTTACAAACCTGGCTAGGTAGCACTAATAATAGCCAGTCCTGATAGAGTACTTAGTATGTGCCAAGTGCCGTTCTAAACATGTTCACATACATTAACTCATTTAATGCTCATACCAATCATACGGGCAAAATAAGATTTTTTTTTTTTTTGGTCTTTTTGTCTTTTTCCGTGTCCGGCAACGGATTGCAACCCTCAGTGTTGCCCCCGTACCGGACCGAGGACCGGCAACGGGATCGCAACCCTCGGTGTTGCCCCCGCGCCTCGCTCAGCCAGTGAGCGGGAACCGGTCTGTATGTGGGATCCGAACCCTCGGCGGGAGCGCCTCTGTGCTTCCCAAGCGGCGCACTAGCGCAGTGCGCCACCGGGCCGGCCCCAAAATAAGATTTTTGTCCTCACTTTACAGGTGAGGAACTGAGGCAGGTACAGAGAAGTTAGGAAACTCGCCCAAGGTAATGCAGTTTGTAATTGGTGATACCAGCATTCAAGTATGGCTGGGTCTTTGTACAACCACTCTAGTCCATATCTTGTGAAGTTCTAATACAGGTGCTTTACATGCACGACTCCCAAAATAACCCTGTGGATAGGAACGGTTACCATAATATCATCATCTCCATTTTACAGGTGAAGAAGGTGATACTTAGAAGAGTTAAGTACTTTCTTTGCCCAAAGTCATGTAGCAAGTGAGTAGCAGAGCCAGTATTCAAGCCCAGGCAGTCGAGCTTCTGAGCTCTGGTGAACCATAATCTGTACGTTTCAGGAGTGGGAGTCAAGAGGCTGGGATTTAGTCCTAGCCCTGCCACTAAGTCATAGCGTGACCTTGGGGGTCTCTGAAACCTGGATTAAGAACTCCTGACCTACATAGTCTCTACTGGCCATTCTGTCATTAATTCTGATACTAAGCTTCTATGTCTTACCTTCTGTTTATAGCGTGACGCGCAGCCCCTGCCAGTCCCCCATGGCCCCTTGGAGCCGAGAGGCGGTGCTGAGTCTCTACCGGGCTCTGCTGCGCCAGGGCCGAGAGCTTCGCTACACTGATCGAGACTTCTACCTTGCCTTCATCCGCCGTGAATTCCGGAAGAATCAGAAGCTAGAGGATCCTGAGGCCAGGGAAAGACAGCTGGAGAAGGGCCTGGTCTTCCTCCACAGCAAACTGGGGGGGATTATTTAAGACCCTCTCCTGTCCCCTCCCACTCTTATTCCACGGGAAAGAGGACAGAGGTGCCTTCTGTAGACACTCCTGCTTTCTCCCATCCCCACCTTACAGATGCATTAAGAAGCCTCAGGTAGGTAGGCCCTATTTCCTATAGGTTTTGTTTTTTCTGATTCACGGTACCAGCAAAGGGGTCCTTTAGGTGACCAAAGTTGTTCCTTTAGTCATTAGAAATCAGTCGAGGAGATACAGGCATATTAACAGAAGTGGGTTCTCTTATTGAGAAAAAATAGACCCTGAGTTTCAAACCCCACCAGAACAGAATTGCTATCACCATTTTATCTTAGAACTTTTTACATATGAAAATGTTAGAAAAGACATTGGTTAAAACCACTAGAGCAGTTCCAAGCCGACTCATTCTTCAGTGGATTCAGTTATACTGTGGGTCAGATCACATTCCTCAAAACATAACTATATTCTTTTATAGCTCTGTAAAGCAAACATAGTGTATAGACTTCAGTTACAGTGCCTGGCTTCAAATCCTGGCACTGCAACTAATAGTTGTGAGATTTAGGGTGAGTCACTAAGCCTTTCCAGAGCACCATTTCCTCATATGTGAAATGAAAATAATAGTACCTGCCTTTTCAGCTTATTATGGGAATTAAATAAGACAGTGCACACACAGAACTTGGAATGGTACTTGGCAAGTGGTATGTCAGCTCTATTTACTCTCAATGCCAGTGTCAAGAAGTCCTACTTTAACACAATGATTATATTTAATTTAGCAACTTTCCCAGAGGGCTTTGTATGGTCCTGGCATTCTGATAGGCTCTGGGGATGGAGATGAATGTTATGGTCCATCAAGGAACTTGGCCTAATGCGAAGGTCAATGGGAAGTAATTACAGTGTAAGGAACTCTATGCATAAAGACAGCGATGAAGACATAACTCTGCCTTGGGTAGGGTGATGGCATGGGATCACAGGTGGCTATAGAAATGAGGACATTTGGGCTGACTGGTTAACTCAGTTGGTTAGAGCACAGCCTTATAACCCCAAGGTCACAAGTTTGGTTCCCCATACCAGCCAGCCATCAAAAAAAAAAAAGAGGGCCGGCCCGGTGGCGCACTGGAGAGTGCGCCGCTTGGGAGTGCGGTAGTGCTCCCGCCGAGGATTCGGATCCCATGTGGAGACCGGTTCCCGCTCACTGGCTGAGCGCGGTGCGGGCGCAACACGGAGGGTTGCGATCCCGTTGCCGGTCCCCGGTACGGGCGCGACACCGAGGGTTGCGATCCCATTACCAGTCAGTAAAAAAGACAAAAAGGAAAAAAAAAAAGTCCAGAAATGAAGACATTTGAGGTCTCCCTTAAATGAGAAATAGAAGCTTGCTGGGCAGGGGGGCAAGTGTGAGGGCACTTCAAAAAGTTCATAGAAAAATAGAATAGGATAGTACAAATTGGGGTTGGCCAGTTAGCTCAGTTGGTTAGAGCATGGTGCTGATAACAACAAGGTCCAGGGTTCGATCCCTGTACCAGCCAGCTGCCAAAAAAAAAAAAAAGATAATACAAATCTTTTCAAATGTACATTAAAGTACCCTTGTACAAACAAATGCCTGGAGGCAGAAAATGCATTTTATAGTCTGGAAACTTGAGTCTGGCATGGCTAAAATGGCACATCTGTAAGGCAAGTGGCCAGAGTTGAGACTGGGCCAGGTCTGGAAGAATGGTGAATCCCAGTTAAGGAGATTTTTAATAGGTGATTGTGGGGGTACCATCACAGCTTTGTAGGCAGGGGAATAACATGGCCACATTTCTATCTTGGAGTGTGCCAGGGGCAGTGTGGAGAATAAATTGGTGAGAGACTAGAGCAGTGAATCTAGCTAGATGATATTGAGGGACTGAGGTGGTGGGGGTGGCCACACGTAAATACGTGTACAACAGTGGGACTTGGTGATCAGTTTGCTGAGGCAGGAGGAGAGAGAAGGATGAAGGGTGTGTAAGGCTTGCCAGCTGTGTGGAGGGTGGTGTTTTTAACAGAGAGAGAAGCAGGAGGAGGAGCCTTATGGTTCTTAGCTACTTTTGGTTCTTAGCTACTTATGATTGGCAGACCTGCCTTTGGCAGTATAGGACCAGGGTTGGGATGATGCCCATGGGGGTGTGCTGCACAGGGAGGGGTAGCAGATCTGGGAGGGAATTAGTGAGTTACTTGAAATCTTTGTATTCCTAACCTATTTTAACTGTGAATTGGGTTACACATTGCTATTACCACCCCCTCTAAAAAACCAAAAACCAACAAAATGCCATAGGGTTAATAGTTCATTCATGCAACAGATATTTACTATGTGTCAGACACTGCACACCCTAGGGATGTAGAAGTGAATAAGCCCAAATGTCCCCAAGAAACTTATGGTCTAGTGGTTAATAGAGAGGACATGTCAACAAGGTGGGGCCACAGGCTACTTGGGACCCCTGTAGATTAGTTCTTCCCAGCAGTGTGAGCTCTGATCCTGTCTGCACAACTTACTGACATGGTGACCTTGGGCCAGTTACTTAATCTCTGCCTCAGTTTCTTCATCTGTAAATTAAAGATAACAAAGTTAATGATCTCATGGGATTGTTGTGAGAATTAAGGCAATTACTATGTGTAAAATGTCCAGCACAAAATACACATTGAACATATGTTAACTATTCTCATATGTACTCAAGCAAGACATGTTTATGAAAAAACATGACTTTTTCTTTTTCTTTTTTTTTTTTTGTCCTTTTTGAGACTGGCTGCACCGCACTCAGCCAGTGAGCGCTGTGAGCGCACTGGTCATCCCTATATAGGATCCGAACCTGCGGCGGGAGCGCTGCTGCGCTCCCAGCGCCGCACTCTCCTGAGTGCGCCACGGGCTCAGCCCAAAACATGACTTTTTCAAGTAAAGTAAGTTGGAATTTTCATAGTTCAGTGTGGTCATCCTCGGAAGCGGCAGGGTCTCCATTGTTCGTCATCTTTACTTTTGGGGTGATGAGTATTTCTGTTCCCATTTTTGTATCTAAGGAGACAGGTTAAATAATTTGCCTGAGAGGTTGCCAGAACTCAAATTCTTCATCCCCAGCCCTGCCCACCAGGTTGGTGTTCCTTCCTTTTTTGTTTTTGTTTTTTAACCATCTTAACCATTATTGCACTCTCTTTTTTTTTTTTTAAAGATGACCGGTAAGGGGATCTTAACCCTTGACTTGGTGTTGTCAGCACCATGCTCACCCATTGAGCTAACCGGCCATCCCCATATGGGATCCGAACCCGTGGCCTTGGTGTTATCAGCACCACACTCTCCTGAGTGAGCCATGGGCCGGCCCTTATTGCACTCTCTTTGTCACTTCTTTCCCTCTGGGTGACTGAGACGCAAAGGATTACTCAAAGCCCATTTCTTCTGAGCAGTGAGAAACCCTGAAGGGGTTAATTTTCCATGAACTCTCAAGAGAGAGGCATTCCTCCTGAAAATTAACCCTGAACTGGGGTTCTGTCTCAGTATTTATTCTCTAGGCCAGAAAGTTACAGAAAAGGAACATAGGTGGAGTTATGGCTAAGTATAGTTTAACAATAGAAGCTGGTAACATCAGTGAAATAACAAAGTGACATTCCATAATGCAATTTGCAAAAGGTAAAGTCAATCCACCAACAAAAGCTTGTTCTTAGCAAATACTGTCTTTTCCTACAGCAGTTTCCTCAGTATGTTTATATAACAATCAAGTAACTTTAGATTAATCTGTTCCAAGGGCATCTGACCTTGAGCCAACAATTTTGCTGTGTTACAATTCTTTATCTACAACAGAGACTTTAGCCTGGGGAAAGTTTCCTGTCTTTTGCAAGCTTAACATTTCTATATGTAATTTTAAAAAGTTAGGTTATACCTGAAACTACAGGGCTTTGGAAACTAGGCCCTGTGAAATACATTTGCTTTATAAATGTTAGTATATTCAACAACCACTTTTATCTTTTTTTTTTTTTTTTTTTTAAGATGACTGGTAAGGGGATCTCAACCCTTGGCTTGGTGTTGTCAGCACCACGCTCAGCCAGTGAGCGAACCGGCCATCCCTATATAGGATCCGAACCCGTGGCCTTGGTGTTATTAGCACCACACTCTCCCAAGTGAGCCACAGGCTGGCCCTCCACAACCATTTTTAAATGTCCAGTTCAGTAGTATTAAGTATATTCTCATTGTTGTGTAACAGATCTCCACAACTTCTTTCATCTTGCAAGTCTGAAACACTATGCCCATTAAACAACAGTGTTTCTTTTTATTGCCCTGAGAAGCCAGGCCCCTCTTGCCTTGGTGTTCTTGTAAGCTGCAAGCTAATGTAGCAGAATCTGAATGAAAGGTACACTTGTGGAGAAGCAGTTTCAACTGGAACAAGTTGAATTAAGTTTTAGAATAAGGACTATGTCTCCCTCTTGGAGTTTGTGGGTGCTCTCTCCTCCTCCAGGTCACCAGGTCTATTATGTCACCTGGTCCTTGGATGGAAGTGGGGGACCATATTGCACTAGAGTAGGAAAAGCCTTTAACAAGCCTGTTCAACTTAACAGTTTTCATCTGAAGCCCAGGATAGCATCAATGTGAGTTACAGGCCATTTTAGCTCAGTCCCAGAGGGTGAATTGTAACTTAGAGGACAGGCTGGATAGCTCACTGCACTTAGCTTTTGTCCTGTAGATGGAAATCTTAAAAGACTTAATGAGGGGCTGGCCAGTTGCTCCATTGGTTAAGTTGGTTAGAGTGTGATGCTGATAACACCAAGATCTAGAGGTTAATCCTTGTACCAGCCAGCTACCAAAAACAAACAAACAAAAAAATTTAATGTTAGCCCACATTTGTGGTGAACGTTTACAGTTTATAGTGTTCATATACACTATTGCAGTAGCTGTTTGTTCTTCACTACAACCCTATGATTTGGGCAATGCAGGGATTATTATTCTCTCTTCATAGCTGAGGGGCTAAGTAACTCATTTGAAGTCGCTCAGCTAACAAGTCAGGGTTTAAGGCAAGTATTCAATCTTAGGATTTCCAACTCTAAAACCTATGCTCTCTTCTGGTATACTGCACCACCACCCTGTTCTTACCAGTCATCAGAATGACCAAGGACTAAATGGTCCAGGGATGCCCCTTCTGGCTTGTGCTCAGAGGGAGGAGGTGCCCTCTAGTCCTGCTGCATCACATTCAAGGATGATTTAGAGGGTGCTTGTATCCAGTGGTTCTCCCTATTGTAAATACATCAGTAAAGGTTCTTTTGTTTTTAAAAAATTAAACGGAAGACGTTGTTAAGTGTGGGGAAATGTGTAATGTTCTACTTTTTTCTGATTGGATCACTGTGCCTCAGACACGTCCTATCTCTCTCAGTGGCCACTATAGGGAGGATGACTAGTGGTCTTGCCTGACCCCACCTGTAAATACAAAGTTCTTGGCCTTCCTTGCTCCTTGCATTTGAAGTAGGAATAGATTTCATTTGGCCACATAGTCTCTCATTATGTCCCTAAATCTGAAGCTTCTATTGTCTGTAAAGGTGGGCAAAAGGAAATGAGACCAAGGTCGTGAACTCTAGTTAGGAAAAAATATTTTTGGACTTGACCGACTCTTGGTTAAGTCAATTGCTGGATTAAGTAGAGTCAGAAATATCTCTTTTTTGGGCCGGCCCGGTGGCGCACTGGAGAGTGCGCCGCTTGGGAGTGCGGCGGCACTCCCGCTGAGGGTTCAGATTCCATGTGGAGACCGGTTCCCGCTCACTGGCTGAGCGCGGTGCGGGCGCAACACTGAGGGTTGCGATCCTGTTGCCGGTCCCCGGTACGGGCGCAACACCGAGGGTTGCAATCCCGTTACCGGTCAGTAAAAAAGACAAAAAGGAAAAAAAAAGAGATATCTCTTTTTTGGGGAGGCAGGGAGGTATAGGCCGGGGTCACGAATTGTGTCAGCACCACGCTCAGCCAGTGAGCGAACCGGCCATCCCTATGTGGGATCCGAACCCGGGGCCTTGGTGTTATCAGCACTGCACTCTTCCGAGTGAGCCACGGGCCGGCCCCGGGGTCACGAATTGTGAAACTAGCAATACCTAGTTGTAACACGATATTAAAAAGAATGTTATTTCTTTCTGGAAGATATTCCTATTGATCCTGTCTCTTGGTATCCTCTTATTCTGGGACCCTGAATGGTATACAGCTTTGTTTTTCCTTATGTAATTCCTGGTGTAAAGGACACGGGAAGTAGAAGAGAGCAGCAGCATTAATAGCAGTATTGAGATCTGAACCACACTGCCAACCTTTATCTGGGTGAGGCCCAGGGTTCCAACTCAATGTGAAATGGGCTTATTTGGGGACTAGGGCCACTTGAGTGAGGATGACTTCTTATAGCCAGGTAGCTTATGTGTGCTCGCCTTGCTTGAGCACTGTACAAGAGGCCAGCCTCTTCTGTCTTGTGCCTAGGTACTCCTTTAGGTGACCACATTTTTAGTTCATCTTCCACACGCATTTGAGCAGATGGGGTTTTTTTGGTTTGTTTTCCAGTTAATAGCCAACTATAACATCCAACCAAACAGCCTTTGTGTTTTTTTTAGTCTCAATGCCAGCTCACCCGAGGTATTATAGTCCCCCTGGATACTTCACCAAGGAACAAAGCATTTGCCCGGTTGGAAGTGTATAGGTGTTTGGTCCATGTTATTTTGTGTTTTGTTTGCAGAAGGTAGATAGAATAAGGGCCAGTTTGATTTGGGTAATGGTAAGCATGAAATAGCGGAAAAAGCATCATAGAACGAGTTGCGATTCCTGCGTTCTGGAGACAATTGTGCCTTTTCTTTTCTCTGGGACTTCTAGTAAGTCACCTCCCTATATGTGTAATGATGTAATAGGATTAGATGAGCCCCAGGGCCATTATCAGATCTCACCTTTCACAAAGCAGTGGCCAGAGAGTCAAAATACATTCTGCATTATAACATTGTGAAGGCATAGAAAGAGGGTTATAATTGCATGGTGGGGAGCTTCACTGTAATATGAGAAAGGATTGATAGTGAGTTTAATGGTTTCTATAATCTTAATAGATTAGTGGAAAGGTTTTCCCACAATATGCATGATCAGTTTCTCCCCCTTACATTCAGAAATATCATGGGACATGGTATCTCTCTCTAGAACCTATAGTATGCAGTGCTAGAGGCAAGAGGATTTGGGTTGCTGGAACTTACACAGTACCCTAAATTTGTTGGGGATTGGCCGGGTGGGGGAAAGGGGACAGTTCTTGAGGTCCCAGGTGCTGATGGCTGTGTTCTAACTTCATTCTCAGGTGAGCAATGGCAGGCGCTGGTGAGCGCAAAGGCAAGAAGGATGACAATGGCATTGGCACGGCCATTGACTTTGTGCTTTCCAATGCCCGGCTGGTGCTGGGGGTGGGTGGAGCGGCCATGCTGGGCATCGCCACGCTGGCAGTTAAGCGGGTAAGTGTGTGCAGCCAGGAGCAGCAATGCATTGTGGTGAGGCAGCATCTACGAAGTGGAGCTCACCTGGAACAAGACACACTGCCAATGGGAGTGTAACTTGGCAATTTGGCATTAGTAGACAAGACCTTAAGATAATTCAGTAAGTTTACTTCTAGAACTCTGCCCTAAAGAAATCATTGGAGATACAAATAAAGCAGTTTATTCTAGCAAGTAAAAAACTGTAAATAACCAAAGTGTCCTTCCTTAACCACAACACCCCACCACACATTTAGTTTATTTATTATATACTGCCTATATATATTATATAATATATATAGGCAGTATATAATAAACAAGTGGACTGAAAACTCTATGAGGGCAGGGATTTGGATCTCTTTGGTGTGCTGCTTTATTCCTAGCACCTCAACCAAGGCCCGACACGTATGAGTAGTAGCCACTCAATAGCTATTTGTTGGTATATTCTTAAGGTACAAGGTTGTGTAGTCAGAAAATGTTCAGGCATTCTTAGTGATAGGAGGAAATGATCAAAATGATGTTAAAAGATCAGGTTTCAAAAGTATATAGGGAGCATGATCCTAATTACATAAATATATATTTCTGGAAAGAAATATACCAGATATTAACAACAGTTTTCTCTGGGTTGTGACATCATAGGTAAATCTATTTCTTTCTTATATCATTTAGTATTTCTCGATATTTTCTGCATTGAACAAAGTATTCCATAATCTAGAATAAAAATTATTAAAAAATAGAGAAAAGAAGGCAGGTGTATGTCCTGTGTCCTCTCTGCTATTCCAGATGTATGACCGGGCAATCAGTGCTCCTACCAGCCCCACCCGCCTGAGCCATTCAGGGAAAAGGAGCTGGGAAGAACCAAACTGGATGGGCTCCTCCCGACTGCTGAACAAGGACATGAAGACAGGCCTGAGCCGGTCCCTGCAGACCCTTCCCACAGACTCCTTTGACACAGGTGAGAAAGGCTTTCAGCCCTCTAAGGTTTGCCTCTGGCCTTTCAGTACTGCTCCTGTGTTCAGCAAACATTGAGCACATATGTGTCAGACACCATGCAAGCACTTGCCCTTTGTTCCAAGCCCTTTTCTTTTCTGGGGCTGAGGCAGCTGTGGACTGAGCAAGCATGGGAAGAGCTCATGTGCCTCTCTCTCTTGCCTTGGCAGATACATTCTGCCCACCCCGGCCCAAGCCATTGGCCAGGAAGGGGCAGGTAGACTTGAAGAAGTCACGACTCCGCATGTCCCTGCAGGAGAAACTTCTTACTTACTACCGGAACCAGGCAGCCATCCCTGCTGGAGAGCAGGCTCGAGCCAAGCAAGCTGCTGTGGACATATGTGCCGAGCTCCGGAGCTTCCTGCGGGCCAAGTTGCCTGACATGCCACTTCGGGACATGTACTTGAGTGGCAGCCTTTATGATGACCTGCAGGTAACAAGGTGGTTCTTACAAAGAGTGGGGTTGGGTACTGACCAGGAGCTTCTCAGTAGTGTTACTAGTACAGAAAATCAGTGTCCCAGACTTGCCAGGAAGATTGCAATCTTACTGCTTCTGAGTCCTGTGCAATTGCAGCAGCATTTGGAGATCCATGTTTTTTAATTTTTGCTCTTGTGTCTTCTTTAACCCTTTCTCATTTTTTAGTCATACTCACAACTTTTAAGAAGCTATAAGAAGCCACCTCCTTTTTATATTCTTGTGCAAATCTCTCCTTTCTAATTTTCTCACTCCATATAGATTGATACAGTGACATGAAAGAATCCTTAGTTTCTATTCTTGGGGGAATGCAAGATGGGACCTGTTTTTGGGGAAGCACATCTCTTGAGCAGAGTAAATCCCTCAAAACATTTTAAATTCTTCTTGACAGGTAGTGACAGCAGATCACATCCAACTCATTGTCCCCCTTGTGCTGGAGCAGAATCTGTGGTCGTGTATCCCTGGCGAGGACACCATCATGAATGTCCCTGGCTTCTTCCTGGTTCGTCGTGAGAACCCAGAGTACTTTCCTCGTGGTAGCAGTTACTGGGACCGCTGCGTAGTAGGGGGCTACCTCTCTCCAAAGACTGTGGCAGATGCATTTCAGAAGGTAGTGGCTGGCTCTATCAATTGGCCAGCCATAGGGTCCCTCTTGGACTATGTGATCCGACCAGCACCACCCCCAGAGGCCTTGACACTGGAGGTGCAGTATGAGCGTGACAAGCATCTCATCATTGACTTCCTGCCATCAGTGACCCTTGGTGACACTGTCTTGGTGGCCAAACCACACCGGCTAGCCCAGTATGACAACCTGTGGCGGCTGAGCCTGCGTCCTGCTGAGACGGCACGCCTGCGGGCTTTGGACCAGGCTGACTCCGGCTGCCGATCTCTGTGCCTCAAGATCCTCAAGGCCATATGCAAGTCTACTCCGGCCCTGGGCCACCTCACTGCCAGCCAGTTAACCAATGTGATCCTACACTTGGCCCAGGAGGAGGCTGACTGGTCTCCAGATATGCTGGCTGACCGTTTCCTGCAGGCTCTGAGGGGACTCATCAGCTACTTAGAGGCTGGAGTCCTGCCCAGTGCCCTAAACCCAAAGGTGAACTTATTTGCAGAGCTCACCCCTGAAGAAATAGATGAATTGGGATACACTCTCTATTGCTCATTGTCCGAGCCAGAGGTGCTGCTGCAGACATAGGGCAGGTGAAGGCCAAAGCAGATGTCAGGTGGTCAGGCCCTGGATTCTCCATTAGAAACACTTGACCACATAGTTGGTGCCTCACAGGGTCCCCAGGTGCATCCTGTCTTGCTGGTCATTGTCCTGGTCACTTCATGCTGATAAGAATGACATCTCTTTGGTCTCCTGTTTTCTTACCTAACCCCTTCTATTTTTGTTACCAAACACTGTGCCGCCTAATATCCCCTTGCACCAGGCAAATTTTTCTAGAATGAATTGAGAAGGTGGAGTGCTGGCCTGAGCTGTTGAGACCACTTGGTGTTTTGCACTTTTGCCCAGGTTTCCTGCTTCTGTCTGGTCTGCCCTGCCCCACCCTTTTGCCTATTCCTTTTCAGTGTCTTTTTTGTCTTTTCTTCTCTTGTTCACGCCCTCTGTACTGCTCTTGTCCCTGGAGCATATCTGCCTAATCAAGATGTTGCCTTTTAGTTGAAGGTCGCTGAAGAGCTATGATTGCATGCTTCCAACCCGACCTCTGCAGATTGAGTGCTGAGACAGTATTTAAGTTTCTAGGGGTGAGGCAAGTGGAAGAGCTGGCCTTTGACCCTGGTTCCTGGAGAAGCCTTCTATTCCCCACACCTCCTGACCAACCCATATTTATAAGTGCTGAGAATGTCTCTCATGGGAACATTGTTATTGACTCACACAGGATAAACTGGATGCAAAGTTATTTGGAGATTGTGTTTCTTAGTGGCCATCAGTAAGCATGTAGAGTGGGGGAGCCAGAGCTGGTTAAGAGAGCCTGGTGGAGGGTCTGTGTGCCCAGTGCTTACACCTCATCTGTGGCTGCAGGAGTCAGACAGACAAGGGGTGGGGGCTGTAAGGGCAGCCCTCACCACAAATGCTGTTTTTCATCCCTTTCCTTGCTTTATTGCCAATTAGGCAATAAAAGAACACGGCCTTGAAAGAACACAGCCTTAGCAGTAGAGGTTAAGGGAGGTCTACAGGAGGCTGGATGTCAGCTGGAAAATGCAGTCAGCAGTTGGGGCTCAGTGACCGTGTTTTCTCCCCTGCCAGGCCCTGCCTTTCTAGGATGTTGCCTTAGAGCAAGAATAGGCCCAACAGCCAGCCCTTACTCCCCCAGTGTCTGCCATACGAGCGTGAGAGTGCTTTTTGCTGAGCTCTCCAGGCAACTGCATAGGCCAAAGGGCAAGTGAACATGCACAGACCTCTTCCCCCTTGTCCTGTCTCTCACCCAGCACTGGGGAGATCTGTGCTACCTAGGAAGAGAGAGTACACGGATAAAACGTGTTTGAGAGGGAGGTGGGTACTTCCAATGTTCCTTCTTGTTTCCTCCTGCTAAAATTGCACTATTTATTGCAGAGTAAACATATCCCAAGGATGGGAAAGAATGTTTAATACACCATATCAGTGTGTCTTGTTTTGTGTTTTTTTCCTGTATGTGGCAAGAGGTTGATGATAATTCTGTTTCTGATCTGCCCATCTAGTATTTTGTTCTCCCATCAAGTCTTATTTTTTCTATTCTTACTACCTCTCCATCAGTGAGATCTGGTGACGCTCTCTGCAGCTGTCTCATTCCTTCCCAATGACATTGACACAAAATGACTCTAAATAGCATTGACACCTCAGCAACCCTTTGAATTTAGGGTAGAGATTCTTGCTCCCTTTTTGTCATAGATTAGATTGAGAACTAGGGTTAACCTTGACTATATTTAGAGAATCTTTCTGCCTTTTCTCCCATATATATGCAAGGATTTCTTAATTAAGATGGTTGTTTCATTTGCATAACGTTATTAAGAGAGAATGGAAAAGATAAAGCTGAGAACCTTGAGAGATTCTTCATCTTGGCTGCTCATCAGAATCAAATGGGAGTTTTAAAAAATCTATATGCCTGTGTATTACTACCCTGAGTGAATGGTATAGAGAGTAGGGGTGGAGACTGATATGAGGGTCCCAATTCATCCATCTGGTATCCATTGGAAGGGAGAGGAGCAAATTGATAGTGTTGCAAAAGCATAGATTATTCTTCGTTGAGATAAATGATTTGGTTTCCCAGTATTATAAAACTTACAATTTTCTCAAGCTGGCATCTCAGACCAAATTCCATATATAACATGTTGCAAAAGCATAGATTATTCTTCGTTGAGATAAATGATTTGGTTTCCAAGTATTATAAAACTTACAATTTTCTCAAGCTGGCATCTCAGACCAAATTCCATATATAACATTGGAAGGAGAGCTTAAAAAAAAAAAAAAAAAAGATTTTAAAGACCCTTCCCCCAAGATGTTAAAGAGTCTCAAGTTATCAAAGCCAAATGTAATGTGATTTTAGGAAGGGAAATGAATTTATCTCTTCTTTTAAAGAGCATCTTTCTAAGTGCATCTCTGGCTTTAAAGTATGTTTCACAGAACCATACCTTTGCCATTTTGCAAGCAAGAACCTCTTAGAAGTCCTCAGAACTAGAAGCAGTGGGAATTCTCAGCCCTGGTCCTGGAGGGTTTACTGACTGACTGGGCAAGCCATTCTCTCTGCTGCCAATATTCCCCATCATAAAATGTGGTAGATAGCCAAATGTTTTGAGATTCTTGGGTGGAAGAGGGTTACATTCTGCCCACCCACCTTAATCTTTGGGGAAAGAAGCAGTGTTTCCCCAATACTCTTTCTGTTCAGTAACTCCCACTTTTTTTTTTTTTTTTTTTTTTTTTTTTCCGTGTCCGGCAACGGATCGCAACCCTCAGTGTCACCCCACACCAGACCGGGACCGGCAACGGGACCACAACCCTCGGTGTTGCTCCCGCGCCTCGCTCAGCCAGTGAGCGGGAACCGGTCTGTATGTGGGATCCGAACCCTCGGGCGGGAGCGCCGCCGCGCTTCCCAAGCGGCGCACTGGACCGGGCCGGCCCAGTAACTCCCACTTTTGCCTGAAGTAATAGCATCTGTTCCTACTTCTCTGTCTGGAGAATTTTTTCCACTATCTAGGTTAGCAAACCACATACTTAGCCTAATGATTAGAAAATACACTCATCATTATCTTGAAAACCTAATAAATTCCAAATTTTATTTTGTTTTTCCCTGTTGTCCCTTCCTAAAAAATGAGTTCAGGACAGCAGTACTTTTTATATGCTTGGTTGTGACTTCTTTTTTTTTTTTTTTTTAAATAAAAAAAAGTTGAAGCTCATGTTTGGAAAAGCTATGTTGAGGAGGCCTATAGTCTCCTGGGTCTTGGCCTCTGGTAGTCCACCTTTTCATACTCCAAATTAGCTGATTTTGCTCCATTCAAGTTGAGAGCTCAAATGGTTTTGATGAGGAATCAGCTTCAGAATCAAAGGGCCCTGGAGAGGCCCTGAGGGGGTTCTGTATATACGGATTCCTGCATGTGTCCAGAGCCCTCTGCCGTGGTACACCTTCCTTGGGACTATGACTTGGCTGAGGATTTGTTAAACTCTGCCCTTTCACCTGAAGCTCAAGGCCAAGGAGAATGGTAACTGACATGTAGGACTAGGGCTGACCTCCGTACCAGGCTGGGAGGCTGTAGCCCTTTTAGACACTGCTTACTGTAAGTGGCCAAAACAGAGATGTGGGTTCTGTGTTCAGCTGCATACTGGGTAATGTTTACCTTTTCATTTTGATAACCCCATAGTCTAAATTCTTGGTCCCTGAGGCCAAGTCCTCAGCTTGCCTTCCAGTCACTTCCCTGCCCTTCACTGGTGTTTGATGTGTTAGCTGGTAGATTTGGGATCAGTCACCAGTCTTTCTGTCCTATCTTGGCTAAGTTCATATAGGAGCAGCTTAGCCCTGAGACCCAGAGAACTGCTATCCTTTTTCTCCTTGTGGGAGAAATAAAACTGGGGAACACAATGTCCTTCCACAGCATGGGAAGAAGAAAATAAAAATCTTTCCAACAGCTTTGACTTTTGTGTGTCGTATGAAACATTTTCCTATGGGAGTGGTTTTGGGTCTCCATTTTCAGCTAGAAGAACCTTTGAAGTTTTCCATAATAGAATGGATGGAACAAGCTGCCACTGGAATCATTCTTTCATGACTCTGCAATGTCAGAACTGGGGCAGTCTTACTTTAATTGTCAACCATCTGCATGGTCATCCGTCAGGAGGCACTGACAAGTCTCTCAATTTAGCCAAAGGAGGACATGCCCCGTGGGTCCTTAGTTACTTCTTTGGAAAACAGGGATGATGGCTCAGGGATTCTTACTGCCTTTGCGCTGAAAAACTAGACAACTTCTGTATACTCAACCCTCACAATTCCCAAATTTTCCCCCAAAGGGGAAAGAAATAACACTCTGATCCCACCATCTAGTGTGCCTTGCATATACCAGTTTTATAGTTGTTGGTTTCTTCTCAATAAATTATTAGTAAAGAGTTCTGTGAGGAAGCAGGATGACGTAATGGAGGTAAGGGTAGGGGGATGGGAGTTCAGGGTTAGAAGACCTGAGTTCCAATAGTAATATTAGCAACCAATTGAGTACTTATGTACCAGGCACTGTGCTAAGTGTTTTACATATATGATCTCACTTCATTCTTAGGACAATGATACTCACCATTAGCCTCATTTTACAGATGAGGAAACAGGCTGAGAGGTTAAGTCACTTAGCCAAATTGTCCTAGCTAATAAATGCTAGAGCCAGGATTCTTTTGGGTTTGTTCCCAAGATCTGTCTTCTAGTCCTTACCTTATACTGCCTTCAGTGGGAGCTATGTGATTGAGCAAGACACCTCATCCCATTAGGCCTATTTACCTTTGTAAAGAAATTGTTGGGCTGGACTGAATCAAGCCAATGAATGGTCTGTAGTTAATCTGCAACAGTGCTATCCCAATCTTGATATCACAGCCCTCACAGAAATATTCGTATGGCCCACTTCAATGAGTGGAGGCTAAAACTCAAGGTTTCTACCCTTACAGGGCCTGACTGTGGAGGAGAATGGAAGGTGGTGGAGAGGTTTCTCAGCACTGGTAAAACAGCTCCCCTGCAGAGAGCTGGCCCTGACCAGGTGGACGTGGGTTCTCAAGCTTCTCTCCCGACAGGGCTATGAGGGTGACTTGTGGGAAGTTGGTTATGCCTGGGAGTTACAGAATTGGGAGTTAATCGAAACTGCCCTAGAGTGAGAGATGCCATTTGAATAAAATCTCCTCGTTCTTAGGAAAACTGAAACAAAATTAAACCAAAAGAAGTTCCCCTGTGATAGACGGCATACTTTAATAGCAATCCTGTATTTTAGCAGAATGGATATTGTAAAAATACAGGTTGGATGACAGGACTACACATCTTCCTCACCTCAGAGTTCGGAGGAAGGATGCAGAGCTGGCCTTTGATAGCAAACGGGCAGGGATCCGATTTCCCAAGTAAGAGCCCACGATGAGCGCTCTCCCGGCGTCCCCTTCCACTTATGGTCCCCGAGCCTCCTGGGGGAGGTTCTGTGTTCGCTATTAATGGGGGCTTTGGGGACCAAGTCAGCCGCTCGCTGTGGGCTCGACCTGGAAAATGAAGGATTGGACCAGGTAACTCCCGAGGGCCCTTCCAGGTGGGAAGTCAGCCCAAGCCGCACTGAAGGGAGAGCACAGGGTGGGAGAGGCGGACGAACTTGGGCCTGGGATGCTACCGGTCGCTAGAGCCAGCTGCCCTGAGGGCGGCAAGAAGGGACCACAGGGGCCGAGCCCTGAGGCCACTATTCGGGGCGCGGTGTTAGAGCTGCCCGGTGCAGGAGCCGAAGTGGTCGCGTCCGGCCAGCAGGCGGACAGGGCTGAAGAAGCCACTGCAGCAGGGAAACTCCCAGACAATTAGCGAGAGCCCGGCGGCGGGAACCCGGCTAGAGGCTTCGCCCCTTCCCGCGCGGACCTCAGGCTCCCTACCAACCAGCCCGCCCACCTAGGGCCCTGAGCCAATAGGAGCTCGAGATATATATGACGCACCCAATCTGGCCCAATCAGCTCAACGCGCGCTCCCCGCCAGCATCTCGCGTGATAACTACACGGCCTCGGCCTTCGCAATAAAAACCTTCCTTGGGCTGAAAGACTTCTCTCCCCGCCCTTCTACTAACGCCGGAAGCGAGGCTTGTCGGGAAGATCCCTCCGCGCCCCCGGAGGCAGGGGGAGGAGCGAGGCTCTTTGATCTTAGAAGATTTGTAAAGTAGTGCGCCTTTTATCTTTAGTGAGGCCTTGAATGTAAACTCTTTTTCTCTTCACAGCTATGCCGCGGACATAAAGGCCGTGGGATGGAAACGGTTGGGGCGTCGGAGATTAAAACGCGTGGGCGGGAGGGGAGGGTAAAGTGGCCGCGGCGGAAGGATGCGGGCTGTGACGCGTCCCCACGACAGCGAAGTCTATAAAGGACCCGCGGAGGGAACGCGGCGGCCATTTCTTGTCCGGCTGCCTGTAGATGTAGAGTTGTCGTCGACTGCGCGCCGTTCCTCCTGCCGTCCCTCCTCCCCTCCCCCAGGGCTCGCGGCCGCCATGGCGCACTAGAGGCAGCAGTGCCTGCGGCAGCGTTGGCCTTTGCAGCGGCGGCAGCAGCACCAGGCTCTGCAGCGGCAACCCTCAGCGGCTTAAGCCATGGCGTGGGTACCGGGGTCGGGCCGGCCGGGGTCGGGATCGGGGGGGCCGGCTTGGTTGGGCGCGGCCTGCGGCCTGTGTGGCGTCTCCGAGGAGGAAGCGGTTTTACGAGCGCCCGGGACGCGTGGCCTTTATTTGGGTGACCCCGAGACGCCGGGCCCCCGGGTCGGGAGAGCGCAGTCCGACGCTTGGGGTTTCTTTCCCGGGAACTTCCCCGGTGATGTCGCCGCTGTCGGTCCCTGTCCTGCCGGGGGTCTTGGCCGTAGCCCGGCGAGACGTGGCAGGCGCCAAGATGGCGGCGGCAGGGGGC